CGAACGAAACTCGTCATAGTTCTATCCTGGGGACCCGTTCTAATGACTTATGAAAACCGAGCACGAAGAAATTGTCATCCTAATGAGAGAAAATGACCTATAATCAGAACGATTCCGCGGAATCGTGCAACCCATTCGTGAGCGCGCATCGCACACTCGTCCATTCCGAGGGATCGGGCAGACCCTTGGAAAACGCGTTTGTTCCTTCCGATCGTCGTCGATGGTCAAGCATCCACGGTTTTTCGATAAAAAAAGGAACGAAGGGAGAGGGGAAATTACCGAGAGTCGAAACGTCCCCGATCGTTCCGCTGGATTCTTTTATGCAACGTTGGAATATCTCGGAGGGACGAACCCTTCTTTTTTTTTCATATGTTTCCTCGTCGTATACCCTTTTTTTTCTTCCTTTTCTTCCTGTTTCTTCTTTTTTTTTTCTTTCTATTTTCCTAGCAATTTTCGACAAACTCGCCTATTCGCCTAAGATTACCTACAACCGGCACGCCAGTGCCTCGAACTAACCCGAAGGGGTGATTCCAAACGAGCGAGAACCTGCCGCGGTTTTCCATAATGCAGAAACGTTGGAACGTGCGCGTTCACGGGGGTAGAAGACAGGTGGAAAGGAAGAAGAACACCGGCCATTATTAATTTACGCAGCGGAAAGGGTTCGCAGGGGGTTGTCGACTGTCCCCCCTGTTAAGGGAAGACAGGAACAGAAACTTGCAGCAGCGTTACCGCGAATAGGAAAAAAAAAAAACTCGTGCAAATTCCACTCTAATTAATTTAGGATTTTTATCACGCGACTTCCGTGTCGCGAATGCTGTCGCGTCTCTCTCTCTCTTTCTCTCTCTCTCTCTCTCTCTCTCTCTCTCTCTCTCTTTCTAAAGAATTAAATATTACACGTCTCTGTCGACGGCGGCCTGGGATATCGTCGCCTCGTGTCCGTCGATTCGCGGCTGACAGCTTCATCAGCGGAACGATATACAATGACACTCGTACGTATTCTAGAGGCGATGCAAACATGTTCTTTTTTTTCCCCTCTGCGTCGTTGCAACAACAAGGTTAGTTGGCGAGCGATCAATGCCGATTCACTTGTTTATCCGTTTCACTTGTCAATAACACAAAAAAATTGTGCGAACTTCTGTTAAAATGGCTAATGTATTCTGAAATGCAGAGGTGCAATGACAGAGATACTGTCTCGCGTTAAATAGTATTCTTATACTCGGAACGGAAAATCCCGCGAAGGGGAAAAGTTGGCAGATAGTTGGTTTGCAAGGAAGTTTGCGTTAGCGTTGATAGAAAGCATTTAAAAACATCTTACTCGAACTTTTCCCTTCGCTCTAAACGCAGTGGAAAACACATAAATAACTTCGCACGAGACAAGACGCCGCAACGGAAAAAGTTGGCGAGGGAAATGTCTACCTACCAAGAAATGAAAAACGATCGTGTCGTACCTAGTCAGTTCGTATTTAATTGTTCGCATTTGCATAAACGATGATGCTAACGGTGATAAAATTCTGTTGTATATTTTGTCGTTTTAATGTCAAGTAACTGAGGTAAAAGATTGTTCGCCGATGAGAGGAAGAAGAAATGAAAACGAAGAACACAAAAGAGAGATATTCAACGAGACGAAAAATAATTTCACATCCAAGTGGAGATCGCTTTGCCTAAACCTAGCCTATACCGAAAGTAGATGAAATGAAGATGTGACGCACAGTGTTGCATGTTTGTCTGAATTTAGCTAGCTGTATCGAGGCGTACGTAGTAAAAATCTCGCGACACGAAGAGAAGAAGATCGAGGAAGAAGTGGAAGAGAGGATGCTCAAAGAAACGAGCAACAGTTGCGTATCTGGTTGTTTGAATATCTAGCGGCGTTCCTCGAGGACAGAGGGAGGCCGCGACTATTCTCATTCAGCCGAGGGGGCTCTTTTTGTTTCGTTCGTTAGCCGCTTTGCGGGACTTTTTCGGGTCTCGAGAGGATTCTCTTTCCTAGTCGTATATCTTATTCCGCTTCTCGACGTTATTGTGCCTGTCCAGGCCGTCGACCGGAGCCACTACCTGCTACTCTAGATCCTCTCTTCCGTTTTCGTTTCTTTTTTCCTTCGAGCGTCTGCCAGACCACGACGAAATCGACGAGGCTCGCCGACCAAGAGCAACAGCAAGAGATTCGCGATTTCAATCGCCACGCGTACGCGCGATCGTGACGACGCCGACCCAAATGAGAAACGTTCCGTGACCCAAATGGGGAAGATTAGATAATGGAACAACCGACTTCTGTTGAAAACACTTGCACCATCGTTTCTATGTAAGTATCGATAAATTATGTATCGCAACAGCGACGAGTATACCGAGTCGACGTCGGCAGACGTGCGAGTGTAGCGCGCATTAAGTGGAATACTACCGGCGGGATCAGACCATCCGTGTCTCGGGGAATCAAAGAGTATCGTACTCGGAGGAACTCGATGTATCGTCGGATACATTAACAGCGATGGTTCTACGGCTGACACGATGGTTCTTTAAAGTGTTCCCGATATATTTTCCTCGCACACATTATTCAAGGAATATATCGGATTTTAATCTCGGTCGTTTCAATACTTTGAAAATAATTGAAGGTTCACGGTGAATCTGTCAATTTAAACTTATATCCTCGTTTACGATTATTAGAAAACACCGCGGCAATCTTCGCCGTGAACCTTCCGACAGCCTCCTCGCCCCGAAGAAATCAGCGAAGCAAGTCCACTCTCGAGCGAGGTGACTTCGAAACAAGATTGTGCAGGAAACATCCGCAAAGATTCTCTAGACAGAGGACCATTTCGGCGCTTACCGGGACCGAAATCGGCACCGATTTCCCGAGAGCGAGGAGCAGAACTAGGTCGACTATCTCTATTCTATATAGTAGGAATAAAAAAGTCTGCGAATACATACAGTTGGGGTACTCACCGTCCTTGGGCGGCGAGGGGCATTGGGGCGCGTACGATCCCAGGTGATATCCGTAGGCGTTGTGCTGATGCATGGGCGCGAACGGATATCCGGCTAGGGCCGATCTAGGACTGGGGAATCCCGCGTCCGCGTGTTGCTGATTCCCGCTGCCCGGCCCGGACGTTTGGTGACTTAGCGCGCCAACCTGATGCGAGAACTGATGAGCACCGGGCACGTTGTGTCCTCCGGGATAACCACCGCGGAGACTGGCGGGATTGTACAGGTTGTTGTGCTGCAGCTCGATGAACGCCGATTTGCCGCTCTGCGAGACAGGTGTGCTCGAGGTGGTGCTGTCGCCGCCGTTGCCACCGGGTGGTCCAGGCGTCACCGAGCCCAGCCCCGTGTGATGAAGATGCTGTTCCATGTCGGAACCAGCGCCCGCGGCACCCGCGCCTCCGCCGCCGCCGGCACCGCCGCCTCCGGACGGTCCACCGCCTCCCGACATGCTATTCGGGGTCGGGGTACTAGACGGACAGGGGTCGCCCGCCCCGAATGGGCTCCCCAGGTCCGTGAAGTTGAGCGTCGTCGTGCTGCCCGGACGCTCCACCTTAGTCGCGACGTCGATGCCGCCGCCACAGCCTACGGTTCTCGCGGACAAACTCGCCGACGACGTCGTCGCCGCCGCCGTCGCGCGAACACCGTACGGGGCCCGAATCTTGGGGCCTCTGTATCACGATTCGTGACCGGTCACAGCTGGATCGAATGGTCCGACTAAGGACACGACAGTAATTCCGTACGACCAACAGGCGACATTTGGATATCTTAGACTCTCTCTCTCTCTCTCTCTCTCTCTCTCTCTCTCT